CTAAGCAAAGCAGATCATACCGTTCCATCAACAACACCTGCCGGTCAGGACCGCGACCCATTCACTATACATTTACCATCCCGTCTGTCTATGTACAGCAACCTGTAGTTTCCTGGCACAGAACTGCTGACATGTCTTGGCTTTTACTGTTGAGACTGCTTTGTGTCATTCTAGGTGCTCTCTTCAGTCGAATGAAGTCAACCTAGATGAATAGCAATGCTTGTTCAAGGGCAAATAGAAAACTGCAATTCTGCAAACACCTCTCAGGCTGGGTGTTTCACACGTGGCTGGAAAACCATGAGGTGGATTGTTTCAAGCTGCTTGGGCAATAGCAGCCTGCGGTCTGATATTAATGTCATTGTTTACAAGAAAGCATAATGTAGGCTTGCGTGAGCAAAACTGTTTTAATACAGCTGTTACATAACAAATTTGTTATACAATGAAACAATCCAAAATATGCCTTTTGGAAGGAAAGTATCCATTATGCAGTTGCATGGCAGCAGTGGCTTAGATGTGCATACTTAAACATTTTCAGGAGAGGACAGGCCACAACACGCTCGCATACAATTTGGTTCAGGTGTGTCATAACACTTCACTAGAAAATGTGCATGGATGATAGGTTAACTGCCACAAATGAAGGACCGGGATTAAGTTCCACAACAGAGAGAGCAGCTACTGTTTTGTTTTTGCACAAGAAATCCAAGAGTTAGAATTAGACAACAATCATGGTGTCTCCTAAATTAAGAGCGGCGTGTTTTTTAGTGGGGCTTTTTGCTCCTTTATTTTTTAACTTGCAAAAAAAAAAAAAAAAATCTTCCTAGTTGAAGAAACACATGTTAAATGTATTGATCAGTAATCCCCAAACTGTTGCTGTCTCGGATGCGATTGGAGGTTTCCAGAGCTCTCGTGATAGCCCACGAAGACGGACTCTTCCTGTATGTATCCTGAATGCTGAGAACTGCTGCAGATGGTGCGCCGGTTGCCTGAAACAGCAGAGTGGCGCAGACGCACCGTCAGCCTCCAAACCTAAGCCACAAATTATGTCTGGTACATGGAAAAGATCATGTGGCCCTGCAGCGGAGTAGAGGTGGTGAGAACGAGGAGTTTGGTGGTAACTGGGTTGGGATTGGACGGATACGATTTACATTCCTCTCCAGGGATGTGATATCAAGACAAGGTCAGACCAAGGCTAATACACAAGTCTCCGAGGAGAGGGAGGAGGATTCTAATCTTTGCTCTTTACTCAAAATGACATTTTATATAGAATGCAAAACCATATTTCTGCGTGAACTGTGCATACCTTTTACGAGATGCAATCTGCCTTGAATTAAGCTAATTGCCTACATCTTTCTAGATCACCTCCTATTGTCTAATTTGCCTTGTATACCCTGTTTCTTAAAATATGTGCCGTAACACTGAATTGTTTTGAATGCATTCGCCTTCTCAAGGAAATACCCCAGACTCGATTTACATCCTACACTACATTCCAACTCATTTCAATAGTCAGACTAACCTCAAAGCCCAAAGGGAACCTCATTGTAATTGCAAAGAAATGTAACACTGCAGTCTAACACTCTAATCTGAAATGAGTATTCTGGTCACACTTGGAGCTGAAACAAAGTTGACGGAATTTTTTTTGTGTGCTTTTGTTTCTTTTTCTGCATTGTATTACTTGTCTTAATCTATTAAGAAAATGCATTTAGTTCCCTTATATGCATGTTTTGCTCTGAGAGAAGGTCTGTGAAGCAGGATGAGGCCTAGCTACAGGATCTGCAACAGCAAAGAGAGGAATACTCCAGACAACCTGAAGAGATTAGGGTCTATTACCAAACAAATTTCTACTACCACCTACAACACTTATGACAGCCTTCAGTTCAACTCTCATAGGAGCTTTAGGGGAAAAAAAGAAAGTAAGAAAGAAAAAGAAAAAAAAAAAGCACACGCTTTTGTCCTCATGGCGGTGTTCCCTCGACGCCAGAATGAAACAAGCTCTGTTTTCTCGGTTGCTCGGTCTGAGAAGAGGGGGCGAGCGTGTTTTAAGAAGGGTGTGGGAATCAATTATCCCACTCAAGAGACATGCAGGACCAGTGGGTATTGCTTGGGATTAGTGTCCATTCTTGTCATGTACTGACAAACCCTCCCGCTGATCTCCTTAACACCAGGTGTTATTAAGAAGCAAGGCCCTTACAGGGGGCCTATAGGCTTTTGAATAACTGCCCTTTAGGAAGGACTGACAAGCTTATAATGATGAAAAAAAAGCGCATTCCTGTGCTTTCATGTGCTCATCTGTGTGAATTTTCAGATTATATTGAGCACTGTCCAAACTGAAAGGGAAATCATGCAAAAAATAAACTTGCAAGAACTACAGCTTGAGCTGTCTTGATTAACCTGCTTTGACAAAGTGACTAGAAATATGCATTCTGATGGGCAGTAAGATGAGAAGATCAATGCTCCACGCTTTTTAAAAAAAAATCTTTATATTCAGCATCGCCTAAATAAAAAGGGTGGAAACAGGGAGGTATGTTTTAAATACAACACAGTCTCCTTCTCTTTCTGAAGCTTTAGCTGATTAGAAAAACTAGAGTGTAAAAACATCAACATGCAGTTTTAATGTGGACTGTGGTGGTGTTCTTCCAACACATAAATCAATGTAAAATGTCAAACTACCTTGATTTTTCTATGGATTGTTAAACCAATATGTGATATTTAGAGGTGCTGTTAGGTGGATTTAAGAATTTTTTTTTTTTTTTTTACCTTTGGTCAGACAAATGTAAGCTAAGCTTGTATTCTGTTCAGCTAAGGTAACCAGCTGCATATTCTCCTAGAAAGCTAATAAGCATTTAACCCAAAATACCAAAGTTCTGCTCATAAATACTTTTCCACACTAGTTCAGTCAGTGCTTAAAACCTCTGAACGAAAGATTAATTACGCAAAAAATTTGAAAGATTAATAACTGCTGATGTGTCTTTTTGGGGAGTGATCAGCACAGATCCAATATCACCCAGAGCGTGCAATGATAATTTTAAAACTTGCTGGCTTTAATCTTTAATTTGAGGTGCTGTTGTGTTTACACACAGTAAGTAGAAAGTTGGCCCGGTGAAGTCACTTGGCCCATGCGCTGCGCTGAATGCGCTGGATATTGTTTGAGATTGGGAATGAATAGACTTCATCTTGAATCCTGGCAGGAGTGCTCCCCAGGTGTAGGTGAGCAAAACCTGGACTCGTCCCAAGTTCAGATCCCTCTCTCTGTTTACGTGCCAAAAATCAAGGTGTGTGTGGACACAAAAGATGTTAGTTGGTAGCTGAGCGATTGAAAGGTGTTTACACAGGAGTTAAGAAGGGTTGTCCCTGCCTAAAGACATTCTCAGCTGGCAAACAGTAAGTGGATATTATTTACAAATCAAGAGGTCAGCTATGTCAACCAGTGCTGCTTCTCACTCCCACTGTAATTGCACTGATTGTGTAGAAAACTATGAACGCTGCTGTCTTACCAGCCAGGTGTTTCTGGGAAAAATAAACAACAACCTAATTGTGTATCATCAGAGGATAAAATGTGCATTCATTAAATAAAGCTTTGCAATTGTATATGTTCATGGACCATATATGTTCTACAAGCATTTCAAACACCGGTGAGGCAGGGGGGATCGCATGTTAAAGAAGGCATTCTGTGACAATAACCAAAACTTTTGGTAATCTCAAAATCTTGAGCAATCAGTGCGTAGGAAGAGTAAATATTTTTCAGGAGCAGGCCTGCCAAAAGGTTCACATTACTTCCTTGAACGATTGATAGCTTGTCAATTGATTTATGATGCTCAATATGATATTTTGCAAAGCGATTAAAGGTTTCATCTTCTGCTTTCAGATTTCTTGTGAAATCGCCTACAGTTATATTTGCGGACAAATTTACTTCATTGTGAACTGCGGGTGAACTCACCTCAGCGCAGCTGGTTTAGGAGAACTGATCACCGCGTCTTGCAAAAAGGCAAGACCTGACGGATATTTAACTTCAGTAGACACTCTTTAGCCAAGATCTACAAAACAGGAAGCTGTATATGTGTGAACTACTCCAAAATCCTGATTCCAGAACCAAGGTATGACAAACTTTGGAGGATAAAAATGTCTACAGAGGGATGCACACAATCTTTTTCTTATACAAAAAAGAACAAAACAACAACAACAACAACAACAACAACAACAACAACAGTAGTATAATTGATTGTTATTGTAAGTAGTAATCTGAGTAAAATTATACTTGTAAAGTATCAGAAATGAATGTGAGTGACTGTGAATGCTGATGCATTACGACGAATTGCCCATAACAACAATATAAAACTTCTAACCTAAACAAATCAAGCACGAGTTTATAACACAATTGCCATGCAAAATGCACTTGTAATAATAATAATAATAATAATAATAATAATAATAATAACAACACTACTCCAGAAGCTGCTCTGGTGCTTTCAGTAAAATCACATGATCTTCCTCTGTAGTCAGCGGTTTTTCATCAGCTGTGCATACTTAAGTATACTTATAGTATTTGAGTATCTGAGTAGAGTACTTGTAACAATAACCCTCAGCTAGTTTCCAACACGTGCACATGTAAGACATTTTAAAACACTAAACCCAAAACAAAAACACACCTGGACTTCTATGTAGGGCAGTGTATAGACTACAATAACACTGCTGCGATATTTCAGTGCTGCTTGTGCTGCACTCAAACCAATTCTTGGTTTGCCATTCTGGAAATAAACAGTCACTGAGTGCAGGTATTTTATCACACCGTCCAGTCCGGCTCAGAGCGACTTCAATCTGCACCAACACCGACTGCGTGGTGCTTAAAACGCCCACAGAGGAGAAGCTGTCACACCAATCATAAATTAAGACGCACTGAGATGAATAATCTTTCTGAAACATGAGAGGGGAATTGTGAATCAGTCGGGTTGTATGTATCGCGGTGCTGCTCCCTCTCTCTCTCTCCCCTCTCTCTCTCTCTGCTGATGGGAGGAGCGCAGAGCAGCTCCTCTCTGTATAAGAAGTGTTGAACGTTCAACAAGGGATTTTACACAGCTACTCAGGAGAAACGAAATGATCTGCCCTGGAGCCGCAGCAAAATGCTGGATGGACACCTACTCCTGGGATGGTTATCGTTCACAGTTATAGTGTATCTTCTCAACTTGCCTGGACCCACCATAGCATATTTCGGGTAAGAGATGACAGACGCACTGTTAAGTCCATGATGCTACTTTTCATTGATTTGATTGGTTCAAAGCAGGTAATTTTTTTTAAATGTCGTAAGTCACTGAAAACTCTTTAGTGAGTTTAGAAAGTGGACTAAGGAAGTTTATTTTTTTTAAAGCACTGATTTCGGGTCAGCGAGGTATCACCTGGAGGCCTCGCAGCTGGTGTGTGCAGCCGGTTGTCTGCTCAAGAATTTACCTCAGTGAAGGTGCTGCTAATTTAAAAAAAGTAGCAGTGTGGGGGTTATCTTAGAATGACATTAAATCAAATATAATCTAATAAATATAGGTGGAAGTATGTATGATTTTGACCGGTGAGAGCCCCCTCCCCTCCATTCTTTCCCTGACAATTGAGCCAGCGCCCACTGTACAGTGAGCGCGGCACGTTTGAGTGGCAGGTAGCGGTCAAGGGGTTATTTTGCTGAAACACTTGTAAAATCATATCCTTAGTCGACTCTGAAAACAGCCGTGGAGCCGAAAGGTGAGTGTATATGCCTCAGACTCAACAGCTGGTAACAATAAAGCGATCTGACTGACTGAACTGGTGGCCGAAACGTCTGCTCAGCTTGCACAGAAAAAATCCCCCCATCCAGCAAAAACATCACACAACTCTGGCAGTTTTTTTCTTCTTCTGCTACCTCCATCAGATAAAAACGGGAGAAACGAAAACAGCTGGAACACGTGTCAGGAAATTAATCTGAAACGCGTTTCGTGAATCGTGTCCCGCACTTAACATTGTTTCATTTAGAAAGCGCACACGGGTGTATATTTCAAAGTAAGTCATTCCCAGGGAACGCCTTGGATTTTAGGTGTAGCCCACTATGACCTCCACTTCAGAGTGGCTACTCATGCTGCACTTTGCTTGCTCGTACGCTCTGCACTCTCAGCTTCCTTTTCTGTCTTAGTTACAGAAGAACATTAACAGTGCTGGGAAGCCAAGGTCATTCAAATGAGGTCAGCATGTCAGGTGGGACCGCAGCCATATTTCACCTGGAGCTGGAGAGCTTTAATCCGAAAAGAAACCCACAGACTGGAATGTACCTGTGCAAGTGGAAATGCACATTAAACACATTTAAGATCTTGGTGCTTTTCTGTATTATCTACAAATATCTCTGTTGATGGGTGCTGTTAGTGCTCCCCTACAGGGTAGACACACACACAGACACACAGAGACAAACGGTTGTAGACTGCAGAGTGATGACACTTGAAGCTTTGCCAGCAGAGTCAAATTTATGGTAGGTATGGGTGTTGTGCAGGATCCAGGAGTGTTAGGCGATCTGGGAACTGATGTGAATCTGCAAGAGAGCACAAGAACTGTCCCCTAAGGGCCCATTAGCCTAGTATGTCAGACCTGCCGACCTGTTGAAGTGGGTTTTACATTCTCCTGGAGGCAAATGTTATCTGAATAGTATGTATTCGCTATTGAGTCAAGGCAAAAATAAGTTTTGGAAGTAGTAAAACGCTATGTATCTCACAGTAACTGTTTTTCAGATGTCTGGGTAATATTTTTTTCTTTGTTGGGGGGTGGTGGTGGAGTGTTGCACAAAGTGTTGGCACTAATTTTGGAAACTGGGTGATGCAAGCAAGTTGTATGACACCTGCAGTAGTTCCGTGTGATGGAAATATCCCAGCCCCTTCTGAGCAAAGCATCATCATGTCATACTCATGCACGTATCAAGTAGTTTCTCTCTCTGCCTCTTGGTCTTTGGTTTCAATTCATTTCTAAAATTGCATTAGAAGGACAAACGTATCACTGCTCTCTGTTTCTGTCTCCCCTCCTGTTGCAGTGTCGCCCTTTGGCAGGCACTTGTATTAAAGATGACGTGCCAAATTGGCACCAAAATCAGCCCTAATGGTTCTAATGGTAATGCATATTTACTTATTCAGTTAGCACTTGCTTTCAATTACCTATGTCAGTCTGTTCTCTATCTGTGGCATGTGTAGTGCAGAGAGACATGTGGTATTACAATACTCCAGATTTATTATTCTGTGGCCCAGGGAGAAAGGAATATGAATGAGTGTCAGTGAATGATTTAGCCTTGCTGCTGAGGAACATGAAACATACTGAAAGAGCCTGCGCAGGTGACACAGATACAAAATGTGACTGCCCCGTGGCCGGCTTCCCAGAAACTCGACACCGATGACACTCCAGCACAGTCTTGCTCAGCTTTGACCGGGGGACATGCTAACACAAACCTGTTCAAATAAATATTCCATGAGCACGAGGCATCTTAGGGCCCCCTGGGTACTGATTTACTCAAAATAGAGGGTCAATGTTGCATACCCAATTTCCAAAGTGCGGTGGAGCATAAGTGTAACATAAACACAATCTCTCCTGCCTCTAGTCTGCTGTAGCTGAGGGTGGGGTGGGATTCCTGGCGTAGCCAAGCACCCGCTTAAATTGTCATCCTTTGCCACAAGAATGTGAACACTCATTTTCTTTCCCTCAGCCTGTTGTGGCAGGTGCTGGTTCTGCTAAATCCGTTATCATTAGAGCTTGAATTGGAGATGCTCACTGAGCTTGCCTTACTTACCTTAAGGTTACAGCACCTTGATCAGATATGGCGTTAACTGTCAGCAAAGGGGATGATTTGTTTGCTCAGGTGACCCCGTGAGGGCTTAGAGTGCTCTCTGAGACGACTCTGTTGGTTTAAATTTAAGTTTTGGTAAAAGGCTTGTCATTCTGCGGTCTTGTAAACTGTGCTGGGTGTGAGTCCTTACACTGAGTCAAGGGTTTGTTTTTCTTTAGCACACATGCGACATATACAGGAAGGCTGCCCACAGTCATGCAACTGGGATTTATTAATCACAGACGCGCCGCAGCATCCGGAAGAAGCAAATATAGCGGTTGCTATTTAATTGCTGCAATATCCTTAAAATCTCTATCATCGGTTTGATCCTGAAGAGCAGAGCTCCTTTCAGATGCAATTATTGTTTTCAGCACTCCATTAAGTGAGGCAGTAAGCCAAGAGCAACAGGATAGCAAATGGGATGTGTGTAAATTTATTGAGGAGGAGTGATGTTTCTTTTCTTTTTTCTTCAGTGTGCAGCCCGTCTGAGGATTTTATCATTTTGCTGACTTAGTTCCTGGCATGTATCAAACGGCATTTTTTTTTTTAAGTTTCAAAGGAGCCTTACTTCTTGAGCACAGTGCAAAAATGTTAAAAATTGTTTTTTAAGCAGCTCCATCTAACCATTTCCTTTGGTTCCCTCCTCCCCCCCATCCCTCCTGTCTTCTGGCTTGCCTGCCTTATGTGCGTGCTGGCATCCCTGCAGTGGTTTGTGGGGAGCTTCTGGGTGATTACCACTCATTAGAAGGAGCAGAGTTAGTGCGGGCTCAGGCTGGCGTTGCCTGGCAGACAGTGGTGGCAAGCGTCTCATTACCAGGCCTTAAGGACTGATTAGCCCTGACGTGCAGCAGGGTGGGGAGCACCGTTGATAGAGGGATTTCCCAACTACATAGGATATCCTGTGGCTATAGCCACACCTCAAAGGGTATCACTTTAGCATGAGCCAAGAAGATAGGATTCTCTTGACAGTGTAGTGTAGTGAGATCACGCGAACCTGGAAGCTTAGATAGCTGACCGCTTGTCCCTCTTAAAAGAGAGTTTTGTTTTCTTTATATTTTTGTTTGATACATCCAGATTTGAGCTAAGCCAGGCTTTGCTTTGAGCTCTGTACCCTGTTACATCCTTCTGGAGTCCTGCTATGTTAGTGGGTACCACATGGTGGTGCAGTACTGTCTGAGAGTGCAGGATGGTCTTCCATCAGCTCTTTCTTGTGTATAAATAGGAGACAAAACGTGAAAACATTAAATGTAAATGTAGTGCAAAATTTACTTGGCTTATGCCCACTTGTGGTCATCCTGCATGATGGGTTCAAAATGTCTTTGAACTTAAGCTTATAGAGCAAAGCTGTACTTTTTTTTTGCACACATTTACATGTCTTTAAACTGGAAGATGCATAGTGTAGCTGCTGATTTTATGGGTTGAACCGTCTGTAATTACAGAGCTTGGTACTCACCTTTGTTAAGAAGAGCTCGGTGGCCCCTGATGGGGCTCATACTGTGTAATAACATGGTTGTGATGGATATTTTTGAAGATTGAATGGTTTGGAGAGGCTTTTAAAATGCGTTTGGCGTGCTCACATTTGAAGGAGGTACAGTTCTCGTGTCATCAGGATGCCAAACAGACCACAATTAAGAGGCGCTTGATTATAAAAGGGCAGCAGGTCCAGGCGTACATTTCATTGATGGATAGCTTGAAGATACAGAGAGGAAAATCTTCTTGGTTAAAATGCAAACATATGATGATCTTTGCAGATGGAGCTGGAGACATGGGCAATTTGCAAAACAGGAAAACTAATATAGACTCAAGACACTTTTAGTGGTCAGGCATTGATGAGATGATGCTAGTTAGTGTGACCGCTATGTCCTGTGTTTTCCATCCTTGACCACAGGCCAGTTTTCTCTGCATAGTTTGTGGGGATAGAAGAGACATGGCACCTCACACGTGCCAAGATTAGCAGACTGTCAAAACCCTCACTTAAAACTTTGGCCTTCCAGAGAATATCTGCTTTTATCATATCCAAGAAAAATAGATTTTGATACATTTAGTGTCTTTAAAAAAAAAAAAAATCAAACAGATTATTTCTGCAGCAGTCAGCATAAAACCCTTTTTTCAGTATCATCCACCTGTTTGCAGGGTAACCTGAGTTTATCTTGCATAAACACGATCATGTAGAAAACTAAGCTGATGTGCACTCAGATGCTTCACTGGGATGGGTGTGCTTATATACTCTAAGATTCTCCCAAAAGGCTTATTTATCCATAAAGCCAGAATATTAGTTTGAGAATGGACACAGTGAGACACACACTGACGTGAACAGGCCAAGGCACGGAAGACGTTCTGCGATTCACCCTGGGGCAGATTTCATTTCACGTTGAAAGTGACCCATTCGCATGACG